TTGCTGCACCCCTTTGTGGACTGGGTGCACAGTCTTGTTGTAGTTGAGTCTTGATTGCTGTTGGTATCACTGGGAGGAATTGACCTCCATGCCAATTGGCTGTGAGGACCAGCTGTGTCTACAATGTGTCTACAATGGAAGAGCTGCTGTGCAAGTTATGGGGCAGAACTTGCTTCAGTGGAGCTTTGGTGCTCACTGAGTCTTCCTCTTGAGTGTGTCACTTATAGATGTGAAGAGTTGTAATCTGGTATGGTCTCACACTGACCACTGGGTACACTGGCTCTTGGATCTCCATGGAGGGGCAAAGTCAGCCACTGCCTGGGGCCACCCAGCAGGAGCTACAGAGAGATCTGCGGATTCCTCCTCTTTATATTGGGTTTGGAAGTGCCCAGATGAGGCCCAGCTGTGAAGCAAGGCAGGCTGCTGCTGCCAGCCTTGGGTCTTCTTTTGATAGCTTTGGGGCTCCCTGACCCAGCTGCTGCCTGTTTGACAGGTTTTAGGCTGAGAAAGGACAGGCTATTCATATGCAAAAGCCACTGTGCACAGCTTGGGTGGGGTTGTAAATTGGGTAGAGTGGGGTCTCAGAGAATCTCTAGGGCAGAGCAAACAGCAGTGGCTGCCAGTTAGCCCTGCACTGGAGAGGTGACCGCTGCGCCCTCGCGTTCCTGCCCCGATGCCAGACAGTCCAGTTTCTCCCGTATGTGTCTGGGTTCCCCAGAGTCTCACCGGGAACTGGAGTTTAGAGCAAGCGGGAGCTTGTATCTCCCTCCTGATTAAAAACGCCGTGCACCCAGGTGCCAGCCCGTTCTGCCCCTCCACACCTCCTACCAGTCTCAATGCATTTTCTTCTTTACCTCTCTGGTTGTAGTACTTCCACTCAGCCAGCTTTCCTGTGGTTCTGGATTATAGTTGTCCTATCTTTTAGTTGTAATTTTGATGTGGTTGTGAGAGGCAGCAAGTACAGGTGTTTACCTATGCCGCCATCTTGGTTTCTTCTCAAAACTGAGAAAGTTTTAGCATTAAGAACCCAGATGGGCCCTGGCCGGATTGCTAGGTTGGTTAGAGCATCGTCCTAATACCCCAAGGTTGTGGGTTTGATTCCTGGTCAGGGCACATACAAGAATCAACCAATGAATGCATAAATAAGTGAAACAACAAATTGATATTGATCTCTAAAAATCAATAATAAAAAATAAACAATGTAGATGGAAGGTTGAGGTTATAATTTAGAAATTGTAAGATGAAGTGTGAGGAGGAGAGTGAGGGAACTTAATTGCTTGGCTCTATCACCTCTGAAATTTAGGTAGAGATGTTGCCTATTGATAGTGAAATAAATTGCAATGGCTCCAACAGAATGAAAAAAGGAAATGTGTAATGGTTTATATGGGGAATGGATATATAGTCAACCAAGAATGAATACAAGGATTGTCGAACAGCTGTGGAATAAATCTCATTATGGTTCCTGTAACATTTGGGAGCCCAGAAACAGACTGGCCAATAATTAGTCAAATGTGTTTATGAAGTTTTTCTAGGATTATATTCCAGGATTAAAAGCATTTTACAAAAATATATCCAGCATGACAAAATAAAATTAAGTGTCTGTTGTGGCAAAGGAGGAAAAAAAGGTTAAAAAGAATATGGAGCTTAAAATGAGTATAATACTCAGACAAGATATGAGGAAGTCTAGGAATGGACCATAAATGAGTCGAGAGCTTTGTAGTAGCTCTAGCAAATGCATTAATTAGGCAAAACACAAGGAGTGTTGGCATTGAGAAAATACTGGCCTGAGGTCTTCTCTGAGAATCTGTAATCTAATGAAAATGGGGAACATGCTTTGGTTCGGCAGAAATAGCCCTAGGGAAAATCAGTCTTGACTATAAGAAAATTTATAGAGATGCTTCATTCTTTCTGGTGTTAGAAATCTATAGATGTTAGTGGGCAGAATTAGATTGGATTAGAACAATTAGAGTCAAACTCCATTAACAATGAAAACACATATGTCATTCAAGTACTATTCTATAGGAAGTACTTATAAACTTTAAATATTTCAAAATATTGGTTTACCCATGCTCATCAAGGCAGTCAAGTTATATTCCTGCTCATTTTGGGCTTACATTCAAATTCAGATTGTCAAAGCATTCTCAGACATCCAGTGTTTTCATCAGAAACAATTACAAGGAAAAAGTAGAGAATACTTTCTGTGAAAAATATTCTGAAAGAATCTAGTTTCTAGCATCTTATCTAATGCCAATGAAATGATTGGGTGATCTTAATACAGGCCAGTGAGACGTGGAGAATTGGTAGGTAGTGGTACAGTAGTGAGCATAACCATATGTCTGATTTTAAAGACCAAAGCTGATTTGTATTTTCAGTGAGAAAGCAGGTAGTTAAAAATTTTATATATAGGTTTTACATCTCAGAACTAATTAAGGGTTTTTACCTTGACTGTAGCCTTATTTAATAAAATTTTTACATTTTCTTAAATTGACTTTGCACCATTTTTTAATAAGAAGGATTAGAAAATATTCTTTCGTGTATTAAATGCATTGTCGGAAGCTCTTGTTTTAATTAGTTGGAGGATGGATTACTTTGCAGAAACATTGCACAAACAAGTTGCTAATTATTCTCTCAGATATTTGCTAGTGATGAGACCTTATGATCAAGTAGCAAAGGGTGAGCAGATCTAGGAATTATTTTATGTTTGACTGACTGAATAATGACTCAATGAATGAACATTTGCTGAGTGAGGTACTTGAGATAAAAATATGAAGGCATGGCCTCTGCTCTCAGAGTCTAGTCTACCGGAAAATAAGCTACTACAGTCTGGTAAGTTCTCTGATTAAATGCTTGTATGCTGGGAAAGTGGTGAATTGGGAGCTAGAGAATTCTAGAGGATGAGACATTTAGTTGAATTTTGAGAGAAGTTACTCACTTGGTAAAGGATCTCCTAATTCAAGGAAGTATAGAGACCTTACACAGCATAGATCTTTGAAGTGGGAAGGGTACACCCTCTGTGTGGTAGGGAAAAGGCAGGGAATGGCAGGAGATGAGACCAGAGTGGTAGGAAGGGGCTAGAATAGGAAAGAACTTTTGTGCTAGGATAAGGAGTGTCACTTTTTAAAAAAATATATATTTTATTGATTTTTTACAGAGAGGAAGGGAGAGGGATAGAGAGTTAGAAACATCGATGAGAGAGAAACATCGATCAGCTGCCTCCTGCACACCTCCTACTGGGGATGTGTCCGCAACCAAGGTACATGGCCTTGGTCGGAATCGAACCTGGACCTTTCAGTTCTCAGGCCGATGCTCTACCCACTGAGCCAAACCGGCTAGGGCAGGAGTGTCACTCTTAAAAGCTATGTGGAAACGTGGGAGAATTTTGAGTAGAAAAGGTATAGGACTAAATTTGCTCTTTTGAAAGACGGCTCTGGCAGCAATTTAGAGAAGGGATCAGATGTGGGGAACAATATTGTTGGCAACTTGATTATCTGGGATATTGTAGTTAGTAGGTGAGAAGTGGTAGTCCTGAATTAAAGTGGGAATAGTATGGTGAGGAGAGAATCACATTCTGAGCTGGAGACTCAGAGCCAGATGAGACGTGGGAGATGATGGAAAAAGGGGGTTGAAGATAATTTGTGACCTTCGGATTCAGGTCACAGGCTTTTTGTTTTGTTATTTTGAAGTGAAGTTCAATTTAACATGAACAAAATTAACCATTTTAAAATGTACAATTCAGTGGTATTTACTACATTCACAGTGTTGTGTAATAACCACCTTTATCAAGTTCAAAAACATTTTCATCACTAGGCCCTGATTGGGAATTGAACTCACAACCTTCTGGTGTACAGGGTAGTGATGCTCCAACCAACCAAGCTGCCTGGCCAGGACTCCTCTTTTTCCATTCAGTAATTTTGCTTGGTTGCTGCAAATCTTTCTTTTCCAGAATTCTGACAAAGTTGATTCTGATAGTTTTGCTTATTCGGAGGAGGGTTGTGGAGTTTCCTGGAGGGATGGGCCTTGGGGCTACCTACTGCATCATTATTTTGCTGATGTCACTCCCACAGGTGGCTTTTTAAAGAATAAATTTGATGGAAGAGGTGAAGAGTGAGTTACAGAGAGATATTTGAGAATTATCAGATGTAGATAGCTACCCAGCGAGAGCATATTTCTTGAGCAGTTTTCACGGGAAATATTAGAACTCATGTTTATATATTTTAAGAAGTTTTTTTGTCATTTGATATGGAATTCATATAAAAGAAACATAACTTCTAAGTAAATTATAAATATAAATACCTATGAATCTACTACCCAACTTAAAAAAACTGAAACATTAAAGTTTCTTTGAAACCTTTGTATTATATGCAATCCCATTCTTTGCCTTCCCCCAGCTTCCCCCAAAGGTAACCACTGTATTGATTTTGGGTGCTGCAGGGGGGCTTATATTCCTGTGTTTTCAAATAAAACAGACCACAAAACAGCTTAACTAGATATGTACATATCCCCAAGCAGCGTGTTGCTTAATTTTATTTGTTTATGATCTTTATAAAAATGGAAATCTATAGGGAATCTTGTGTTTTACATTTTTCTTTCACTATTGTTTTAATAGTATCCATGTTGTGTATAGCTACATGCCATTCTTTTTAATGAATGCATAAAACTTAAACCTTTATATGTCCTACAATTTATCCATTCTCCTCTTCTTTTCTTTTTTTGAGTTTTTATTTTTTACAACCTTTGTTGTTGAAAGTATTACATATATCCCCTTTCCCCCCCATATCCGTTCTCTTCTTGATAGGCAGTTAGTTTTAGTTATTATTATCTTTTGGCCAGCATGAACAGTGCTACTGTGGACATTTTTATTCATATACACAAGACATATACTACAGTGTAGTGTTTCTATAGGAGTGGAATGCTGAGTCATGGAGGATACACAGGTCATTCTAGTTCCTATTCTGTCGTATTACCTTGAAATTTTAGATAATTAATTTTCAAGTTTTGTTCTTTAAGATTGTAAGCATTTAAGACTAAAATTCTTTGCAACTTGTTACTTTGACAGCATTTTCTTACATGTCTACATTTTCATTACATTTCAACTGTTTTAAACTTCCATTATGATTTTATTTTTGATCCACAAATTATTTAGAAGTGTGTTTTGAAATTATCACATGTAGGTGTTTTTAGTTTTTTCTTTCTGTTAATAAATTATATATTAGTGAATTGCATGGTGATCTGCAAAGTTGGTTGTATGATACTGATTCTAGGAAATTTAGTCTTTCTGGTTTAGCACATAAGCACTTCATGTAGATGCACCATGTAGAGAATTCGTAGCCTTTAATTTTGAAGTTGAGGATTTTCCGTGTCCATTAAGTCAACTTTTAAAATTTCTTTGTTTAGATCTTTAATATTTAACTAATTTTGTCTGCTTGACCTAGCAATAATAGAGAAAAGTAATTTATACTTTTCACCTTATAGTTTTATCAAGATTTGCTTTAGATATTTATATGTATTCAGTGCATACAAGTTTAGAATTCTTATATATTATTGGTGAATTGAAGCTGTTTAACACTAAAGATGCCTTTTGCCTACTTTGTCTAATATTAACAAGGTTATTCCACTATCCTTCAGTTGGTATTGCCAATGATTTCATTTTTCCATTTTCTATCTTTTAGAATTTCCATGTTTTTTATATTTTACTGTGTCTCTTATATATACTAAATAGAAGAATTTGGATGGCAGGTGGGACATTTCAGTTTTATCCTCGTTTACTGGCTTAGGGTCTATCTATTTTACTTATGTTCCTTTGTATAATAACAACAAAATATAAGGTTAATCAATATCTTAAAATCCACATCTTCAAGAAAAAATACAAAAACCTTACCACATTTTACCACCTTAACCACCTTCTTCATTCCCCACAATTTACATGATATTGTTCATAATTTTCACCTCATTTTTAATTGTGCCACAAATTTGGCATTGTTATTTTCTATAGACAATGTTTATTTTTCTTTAACTGTATTTTTATTGGCTGCTTTGCTTACTGTTTCTTCTTATTACTCAGACCTTTTTAATGGAGCATTTTCTTCTTAAAAATATTTTTTAGAAGTTCTGTTAGT